AAGAAGTTGGCTTGAGTCCATGAGTTTGAGGTTGCTGTGAGTTGTGATGCCACACCATGCTACGGAGGGTGACCAAGTGAGACTGTCTCAAAAAAAGAAATAAAAATTTCACCAATTGTTTTGACCCATTAACTAAAGAACGAAGATTACAGAATCCCCATAGGAATATACATAATTTTGGAGACAGAGTCTCAGAATGTTGCCCTTGGAAGAGTGTCGTGCCGTGGCATCACAGGTCACAGTAACCTCCATCTCTTGGGCTTAAGTGATGCTTTTGCTTCAGCCTCCCAAGTAGCTGGAACTACAGGAGTCTGCCACAAGGCCTGGCTTTTTTTTGTTGCAGTTGTGATTGTTGCTTAGCTGGCTCTGGTCAGGTTGAAACCTGCCAGCCTCATTCAGTACACATGGCTGGCGCTATAACCACTGTGCTACAGGCACTGAGCCTCCACCCACCCTCCCTCCTTGGAAATTAAAGAAGGAAAATAGTGAACAGTTAACCCCTGTTTCAGTTTAGTCTAGCTCAACCAGCCAGACTGCCAGATGGCAAGAAACAGTTACTAGGAGACATCTAGACCTACACAGTTTCCCAAGCTCCTTTCCCCTTTCACCACCTTCTGGTTAACTGAGGAACATCAAGTGGTCTTTCTAAAGTTAGTCAGCCATCTCCCCATATTGCTCCTGAATAAACTGCCTTTTCTTCCACCAACTCTTGCATTGTGACTTTGACTTTTCAGGAAGGAATAGACAATCTTGGGTTCAGTTAAAATTTTGCAGGTTTTGAGTGAGTCTATGGAGTGACTTGTTTAACAATTCCCCCTGTTGCTGCTGTAACTCCTTTTAGGCTGTAGCAGCGCTCAGGTGGAGAAAGCAAACACAGCACAGAGTCTCCTCTGCTCAACACTTTGTAACAACACAAAAATCTCTGGTTCAAAGAAGACCACCAATCACAATCTTGAGGCATGGCATGGTTTGCTGGCACTTTAAATTCTCCAAAGTTGAGAGAAGGCAGCTGTGTCTAAAGACCTGGACTCAGAATTTGGACTTGCAGATTTGGGTCTGGCACTTACCAGGCTGCAGGCAGTGCCCTGTGTACATTCATGAGAATTACGGAAACAGAAAAATAGGAATGAGGACAGTCTCAGTGCACATCTGTCACCCAGGTTGAGCCTCTGGCCTCATAGTCTTTAGGATAGTTTTAGTTCTAAAGATATCAGGATAACAGAAAGGTAATGAACAGCTGATTGCTGCCCTATAAAAGTAGTGTCAGGTTATCCCCAAAGTCATCATACATAGGAAAAATTGAAAATTGTAGATAAATATACCTTTACAAAATGCTCATTACAAACTTTTACAAAGAGATGGCAATACATAGAGAATACTTTGTAAATGTTTTATAAGATTTTGTTGTAGGTGATGTCTGTAGCTCAGTTGGCAAGGTCACTGGTCACAATACACCTAGTTCAAACCCAGCCCTCTTTTCCCTGCCCACTCCTGTTCCCCAGCCTTCACCTGTTCCCCACCGCCACTCTCACCTGTTCCCCCCACCCTCTCCAGCCCATTTCCCTTCTCTTCCCTTCTCCCCCCAGAGTCGACTCCAGGAACAAGGCAAGTCCCTCCTCCCCCCAGGGTGGCCGAGAACGTGCTTCCCAGCCACGTTCCCAGGCCCCCTTCTTCCTCCTAGGGTTGCCAAGAACCAGCTTCAAGTACAAGGAAAAAAGTCCCAAGTTTCACAAAACACCCAAGTTCTCAGTAGATGAACAATGGTGGAAAACTCACTGAGACTTGATTAGTTACTCTTGTATGACAATAACCATTGTGATATGAAATGTATCCATTGTCAACTGAAACTGTATTAATTATTGTTCCATTGCTGTATCTATGACTACCTGAGTTGTAATCCCCCTTAACCAGCCACGTTTCACTTCTGTAATATGCTTACACAAAGCCTATAAAAGGTAACTCACACTCTCACTGGGTGCTGACTGTCTCTCAGAGCAGCAGCCCCTATAGCAGGTAAAATAAATTACCAATTAATTAACCTAAATAAGGGTCCGAGTCTATTTTTCCAGGTCCCCTAAGTTATTTCACAATGACAACTGCAACCAAAAAATAGCCAGGTGTTGTGATGGGCGCCTGCAGACCCAGCTACTTGAGAGGCTGAGGGAAGAGAATCGCTTAAGCCCAAGAGTTGAAGGTTGCTGTGAGCTGTG